ACTAGCACATTAATTATTTGGCTGAATTAAGTTTCAGACCATTATTATAATATTAAATTTAATGCTTCACTGTTCACATAAGCCTTTTTTTTCATAAGTTCATACAATTTTAAAGGAGTTTATTAGCCCCATCAAGAAAGTTCATTCCAGCTCCCAACTATAACCACCTCTTACTACTCCTATATTCATCCAATCTTTTCTTGAACTCAGTTAAATTTTCTGCCTCCACCACTCGTGAAGGCAGTTCATTCCAAAAACCAACCAAGTAATATTGTCTAAACTGCAGATGACTCCTACGCTGCCAAATTTGAATTTATGGCCACTTGTCTTATTGTTTTCACTGCTAAACACAAGGTCTCCTGGTGGGACAACAGTGAGTCTTTGATTTACAATGCTAAAATCAGGGGTTCAACTCCCCTTGGTGGACACAGCAGGTAGTATGATGTGGCTTTGATATAAGAAAAAACATATGCTAAACACAAAAAAGTATGATGGATCTATATTATCAATACCCTTAATAATCTTAAACATTTCAATCAAATCCCCTCTGACCTTTCTTCTCTCCAGAGAAAATACGTTTAGAGATTTTAGTCTCTCCTTTTAAAAACATTCCCCTCACACCCACAGATTTAATTTCCGTAACAAGTCTTTTGTGAGGCACCTTATCAAATGCTTTCTGAAAATCAAGGTAAACCAAGTCTACAGTATTTCCTTCATCAACTCTTGCAGTAACATCCTTAAAGAATGTCAGAAGATTTGTTAAACAAGACTTTCCCGTAGTGAAACCATGCTTGCTTTTTGACACTATATCAAACTGCTTTAAATGACTCTGCAATGCATCTTTAATCACACTCTCCAAAACCTTTCCAATTACTGATGTAAGACTAACTGGCCTATAATTACCTGGACAATGTTTATCACCTCCTTTAAATATTGGACTAACATTAGCCAACTTCTAATATTCTTCCACTACTCAATGACCTGTTAAAAATATTATCTAGTGGTTCACAAATAAAATCTTTAAGTTCCTTTAAAATTCTAGAATGAAAGTTGTCTGGTCCAGGAGAATTATCAGTTTTTAAGTTTCCATGATTAACCAGTCTTATCTTTGAGAAAAAGGATCGAAACACCATTCTGTTATTTTTCAATGGCAAAATAATTTCATCACAGTATATATATATATATATATGTGTGTGTATATATATATACATCAAAACTCTTCTTTTCAAGAGTATATTATAAGAAAATTGTCCATTTTTTGCAATTCCTAAAATATCATATCAGTATATCAACATTGATACATTGATCTGCCAGTCTTCATATATGCTGAATGGTCAATCTAAAGAAACTTATTAAGAAAAAATTTTTTCTTTTTGTGAGAGAATATCATGAAAAAAGCAGGAGTCCCTCTATTGATTGACTGAGAGAAATATTTTGAAGATAAGATCCTGAATGGAAAACATGCATAAGAAGAGGAATGCTTTTGAGTATGTGCTTGTTTTTCAGTTTACGTATATACATATATATTCCCCCCTCCCCCATGTTGAATAAATTGATTTGAATTGAATATCTCCACATTGACACTTCTTGTAGAAATGACTTTAGTAGCAGTCTTTTGTATTTAAACCTAAACATTTTTACCAACATGCTTTGTAGTCAGTCACCTTTGCTTAGAAGCAAACACAATTAAATTTTATTTATTGAAATAACACATGAAATAAAAAATGATGCTTGTAAATGGCCCACTAGACAATCATGTTGCAAATACGCTCTGATCCAAGGGTTTGGGTTGACTACACATTAATGATTAAAATCAGTTAATCAGGTTATGAAGGATGTAATCTGTTTATATTTAGGACTTGTTGAATAGATGTTTCACCTTAAGAGAAAATGTCAAAAAGATTTAGTTTCTATTAATTTAACTGATAATTGTCAATGTCATTACAAATTACATTAGATTTATTAGTAAGAGCAGTTTGAAAATTCTGCTTTATTTTATAAACTTCTGACTGTATTTCTTTCAATTTCATTATCGATGACAAAGCTTTATTTATAGGTTCACGTTGGAGAAGAGAAAACGAAGAGCTCATGTTTCATTTATGCATTGATCTCTGCTGTTGCTGAGAATGCAATAGAAGGTAATTAACTTATGAACCTGTATCATTTGACTTTTTGAACTTCTTGGACAGTATTTACTTAAAAATAGACTAAAAACTTCATTAAGTAAAATTCTTAAAATCATGACTCCCAGAGCAAATACCCTGTAGTTTTAACCTTCATAATCAACACAGCTTGGTCAGTGTCTGTTCTTAATTGTATGAATTATAAAGATGACATTCATTCCAAGTAAGAGTAAGTACCCCTGTTTGGCCCTACATCTCACTGCTTAATGTGATGATGATAGATCTGAAGTTTTAAAAGTTTAATAACATATTTATGTGTGGCTCTATGTCTTACTTTTTAACAAACTTTAATTGATGATAAATGTCACTTAATAGATTTTTTAATGTAAATCTATACCTAACAGTTGACACACATTTTCAGGTTAATATCCTTTTCCTTTCTGTCATCTACTTTCTTATATTTAGTAATGCTTTTCACTAAAAAATATAATTGCTAGAAAATCTTTATTTCATGAAATAATTTCATAAATATTGCTTTCTTAAGCCAAACTCTTAAATATTGTAGCACTGAAATAGTGAATATGCTAGGTTCTCATTCAGATTAATAGTGTATTTGTGCATTTGTAGTGAAGTTTTAGCTGAAGTGTTAGTTTAGAAAAACAAGTTGTTTGGCATGTTAAGACTACTTGTTATACAGTCCATACACTTAAAAACAGAACGTTTAAAAAATAGTAATAATAATAATGACTTAAGTTTCTGTAATTCTTCTGCAGGTATTGTTAAAAGACTGTAAAAATAGCTTGTAGGAATGTTTTACCAACATTATTCCCAGTATTTTATCATTATGCCAATGGTGGTAGTTTAAAAATTGAGTGAAACCATTCCGTTTTATTAACATTCCTAAACAGTTCATACATTTATGAGAGCTGTGTATAACTTCTTTTTATCTCCAATATTGACTGCTTTAAAAGTTTGTGTATAATTACATTAAATCTTTTTTTACAGTATTTTTCTCCAATAGTTACTTTCAAAACTAATGAAAATAGGTAGTGTTCAGATTTATACATTTTTTATTAGTGTTATAAAACTACAACATGAAACAAACATGTATTTTGATGAACATTATATACGAGGTGCTCCAAATATTAATTATTCTATATTTCTGTTTTTATTATTGTATATAGAAAGCATTGGTTTGTAGCACCAAATTTGATTGCCCTATTATTAATTTGTGTCTGGCATACTTTTCACTTATACATTAATCTGGAATGAATGAAAAAAAAAGAATAATTCATATGCTGCTCTGGGCAACTAATTTTCGGACCATAGTGTATCTTGTAACGTTGTCAACCAGTTTTTAATTTTCCTGTCTTGTCTACATTGTAGGAGAAGGAACCTGTTGTTCATTTAATAATCCTTCTGTATCAGAAAGAGCTCCAGTGCTTCAAAAATACCTGGATAGTAAAGAAGACTTGGAACTTCAAGCTCTCTTTGGTCTCCAAGCTCTTCTCAGTAGGCTGGAAAACCCGAAAGGTTTGTTCATTTGTAAGAGTTACAAACGTGTAGTGATCTTTTAAAATGTTTTCAGAATAACATAGAAAATTTTGTTCAAGAAATATACATGTTAGAAAATAGCTACTTCAAATAACCTGTTATATCAGTGACACAAAATGATGTACATTAGAAGTTTCACAAGTGCTTATGATGAAAGAATTTCGATCCTAAATTGATAACAAGGTTTGACATGTAATTGAATTCAGTATATTTATGTGTGTGTGTGTGTGTAATATATTTATATTGTATTTGGTATGTTGTTATTAAAATGTCAGAGCCATTACTCAAGTTTCATAAAAGCAATAATAGTCTACTTTTAGTTATTCCTTAGTTTCCTCAGTCTTCTCATAGAATGTGTTATGTTCCAAACTATCTAATAGGTTTTGAATTCCTTTACTACTGCTGTTGTACTTCTGTTTCTATCCTAGCAGTGTCTACCATATTTTTGGCTGAGTACATCATATTTAAGTGTAACAGGTTTGGATATGGTTTAAAGTGATCTGAAACCTTTCCATTTCAGTAATATTCATAAACCAGGCATACAATCTGCAAATATCTGAGATCCTTCTACCTCTTGTTACTATGTACAACTGCATGTTGTTACAAGTATGTACAAAAAAACAGTGACTATTTGAAAAGTTTGTACTATGTACAACTGCATGTTGTTACAAGTATGTACAAAAAACCAGTGACTGTTTGAACTATATTAATTTTTTTCTATTGTATTAGACAATGAAAAATATACAACACAGTTATGACATTTGGAAGTGAAGGATGTTTTTATCTTACAAACTAACGTTGGTTAAAAACCTTAACTAGTCTTCTAACACTCAACTGTGACTATGCTGGCTTGTTAATGTTTATTAAAAAATTAGAAATCGGTGAAGATTAAATGTTAATAAAACAACAAACTGAAAAGATTGAAGTAATCAAAAAAAAAATTGGAAAAGTTTATGGTTTAGTGATTCTGCCAAAAGTTTTGTCTCTTAAGTTTCAGTACTATATTCAAATTTTAGCTGCTGAAAAAGACATTCTTTCATCATGTTCTTAAGATTTTATTTAAACACTGTCATTATCAACATAGAACCGAAGTTTTGGATTTTGCACATAAAATGTAATTATAAAGCAGTCTTGTTGCATGAAATAAAGCTAAATTTGTACATTATGTTAATTAACCTTCTAGAATGTCTTAATTTTAGTAACTTTGTTTTTACATAAGATCATTCTACAATAGATCTGTGCACTGTTTTCCCCCAAGACTAAATTTGATGGTTTATATATGTTATTTTTTTCAATGTTTAGAGAAATGCAGAAACCCTACATGCCTATATTGTAATGTCTGCGTTTATCACATGAAATCATTGTTAATCCTGTGTTTTATTAAAGCTACTCTTTAACATTCTGCTGGTTCCTGCAAGACCACATTTGTTACATGTTTAGTAAACCTGGCTTTCCAAATAAAAGCATTTTGAAGTGAAGAAGTGTTCAGGTACAACCAAAATAATTAATATTTTATTTATTTTATAATTCAACATTAGTAGTTTAGTTTAAAAACAAAGATCATAAACTGAGAAGTTTTATTAAAAGACAAACACTGCAATGTGTTATATCTATAAATACAATTTTATTGTCTGAAAAATAATGTAATATACCAGTGTAAAGATAATATTGTTATTGCATTTAAAATAATGTGTAAGTGATTTAACTTGTAATGATAATTTGCTAGACTATACTATGTGTTTCATGTTTTTAATTAGTCTGTGCAGTACTTTCATCTTTAAAATCCTAAAATGTGCTTGTTTATAACAGATTTGCTATTAGAACTGTTCAAAATTTTGTACAACTTGTATACAATTTTAGATGAGGCATATAATAAACTGGAAACTGAGTACGGAACAGAAAGGAGAAGAAGATGATGCACTAAAGTTGGCCATGTCCTTCTTCGTATGTCTGGAAGATGCAGACAAGGAGCCAGCTGATCCTACTTATCATTTGTGTTAAGATTAGGATTAAACTTTGCATTTTTATGGGAAATACTATTTTTATATACTGTTCCTCAACTTACCAAAATTAAAAAATTTCAAGAACATTGCTAAAAAAGTTCATCATTTTAAAAAAATTTTCAGAAAACTGTATCTAGATGTTATGTGTGTGTCTTTGTAGTATGCATTGAGATTATGCATTTAAATCATTTAATAGCAATAGGTTGACTTGTATTATTTTTTAATTTGCATTCTATCTACCCATTTTACTTAAACTGGTGAGAAGATATGAAAGTCAATACAAATTAAAATTAATCATCTTACATTTCTGTGGAATTTCGGGAATTTTAACTTCAGAAATGTGTGTTGAATCACAAAAATTATTCAATTAAGTTAATTACTTGGTAATTATGTACGTTAGCTAGGAATTGTTTATTTATGTTTGATCTGTACATAAATTTGATGGATGTTGTAATGTATAGTGGGACTAAAACTGTGAATGAAAAGAAATTCTGCAGTAGGAATATGTTGTTTTGATACAATAAAATTCTCTGCTTAACTGCACGCTTTCAGTTGAGTGTTGTTTGCATTCATACAAGTTGTATTTTCTTATATCAAATATTATGTTGACAGATATTGCACTGTCAATATTGTTATGTAATATGATAATATATCTAAAGCAGCAATATATCTTCCTTTGATGAAGGAATGTATTTGTTTCAATAAAGCATCTAATCTTGAGTTTACGTATTTACGATAACTATTCTCACACAGAGACATCATATAATATTTTGGCTAATATTACAGCTACATAATAGAAAGAAAAGTTTGGTTTAACTTCACTAAACGTGTTTTGGGTTATCTTCAAGAGATATCACAACTTTCAACAGCATTAGCTAACAAAAAAATATTGACTTGCAGCACTTGAAAGAAGCTAAGCTGAGCTACTCAATAAATGGAAGTTGTCTTATGATACGCATTCAGTCTTGTAAAGATAGGTGTGTTTAGACAGGTAATGTTGGCTTTGATCATATTATTCATATTTTTTAAATATGACTTTTAAAGAAAATGAAATAGATATAAATTCTTAATTTGGCCCTAACTTCAGTGTGCAAGAACAAAATTGAACAATAGCAGCAGTATGTACTGTAGACAAACAAGTAATTGGGATAATTGGACAGTTTTGTAATACTTTAAAATGAATATTTTAATATTGAAAGGTCAGAGATTGATCACAATCCTTTCATGAGTATCGTATTACAGTATAAATAACTTGGACAAATGTTGAACCAACAAACATTGCTTTAATTACTTTAAACTTTAACAACAAGAAAATGTTATCTCTGACTCAAGTAATAACTAACTGATATGCAATCATTTGTTTTTGATTAGCATTTTCAGTATATTATGATTTTTTCCAGCACTACGTGAAAATAAAGCACTGATTACAGGTTTACAGCTGAAAATATCATTAGGAGCAAGAGTACCCAAATAATGAAACAATACATCATAATCTTTACAAGTAAGAACTCAAAAAAACTCATTACTGGATTGATTAGTGTTAGGTCATCAAGAAATTAATGTGTTTTGGAACACTTTCATTAACCACCCCCCAAAAAAATGTACATCATGTATAATAGTTAAACAAACTGCCTAAACGTCACATTAGTGTAGCCTATATAATGTATAAAGTTTAATATACTCTAATCTGTTAGAGTCATGGCACACAACGTGATACACATTCGGCATATAATGCTGTTTGAATACAAGAAGTGAAACGTCTCTGTATCTGTAGCCACAAAGAATATAAAAGAAGATTATGGAAATGTTTTGAACATTCGTAAGTGTCAATGATGGTTCAGCAAATTTCGCACAGGTGGCTTTAGCCTTAAAAACTGTGATGGCAGGGGCCAACATGTTGGAGTTAATATTGATGCTCTGAAGATGCTTGTTGAGTCTAACCCAAGGCAACACACTAGTGAAATGGCCCTGAAATTGCATATCTCTCATGAAACAATACGTTAGCATCTAAGGAATATGAGAAACTCCATAAAGAAGGTGTTTGGGTGCCTCATGAACTCTCCGATGATCATCATTTCCAACGTTTGAATGTTGCTTCGTCTCTTCTGGCACATAATGTGCATGAACCATTTTTGGACAGAATTGTCACCGATGATGAAAAATGGATCCTCTATGCGAATATTAAATGCTAAAAAC